GTGTGTGTTTGTTTGTGTGTATATATAGTTTGGGAAACTGAAAGCATTAAACAATGTTAAGAAAATGTTGAGAATGTCTCCTTGCAGGTTTGGTTACATTCGGAGGAGATGACTACATACAAAACGAAAAACCAAGTCGTTTATATGAAACTGTTTTTAAACCTTACAAAATAATAATTTAAAGTTTTCTAACTGCTCAATAAACACTGTGCTTGATTTGAACTTGACCAAAGTTCACTGAGACAAATTTAACTAATGGTTAACTATCACCGTTTTGGATTTTTTTAAAAATTGTTTCTAAACATTATTTTCCAAGCAAACTAGTTGTTACGTATTAAAGGATACCTGACCCATTTTACTGTGGAAAGTATTATTTTTGTGTCAAGTTATCTTATCTCACAGTGTCAGTGGAATTTATTTCTCTGATCTCAAAGTGAATATCATTTTACTTGATTTCCTTTAATCATTAACACAGAACCACATTTACAAAATATATATCTTTAAAGCTTAAAGTACCACAGATTATAATGAGGTCACATCCACTTTAATGAGGCATTACACTAATAACTGAAAGCTTTGGTACATAACAGACAGTACATGTTATTCAGGTTAGTGGTCATTGGTGTTTCGAGCAGAACAAGGTCAGACAAAGTATAAATATAGTGTCACTTACCACAATTGGCAAAAGTCCAGAAGAAGCTTAGAAAAAAGACCACCACAACCACTCGAAACTTGACCACAATCATTATCTTAAGGTTCTGTTCACCTCTCCAGCCTGAAAAACAACTGAAAAAAACCAGCTGGTATGTGATACTCACTTCAGAGGCTGGGCTATTTAGAGGCAGTGCAGTATTATGAGGCAAGACTTGTGAAACTTCAGTGACCAAAGTTCACTATATTCAATTCTTGTCGTGCTGTAAACCTAACTTTCTGCTGAAAAAGGGCAAAGATGGCGAAGCATGGGAACAAGTACAGGTGCAAGTATTTATAGACATATGACTAGATCGGCTGTGCTTCGAGTGCGGTCTAACTCCTGACATTCAGATAAAATATACCAGTTTGTTGAAAAACCTGGTTATAAACACAATTGTGAATCTGAACTTGCAATTTTTTCAATTAATTTGTAATTTGAGGGATTTTTTTCATCCTCTGTATTTTGGTCCTCTCACAAATACATCGTGGATTTGTTATCCTCTATGATCTCAGATAAGTTCTGATATTATTAGAAATTATTAGAGTGTTCAGAAAGGGTTTTAGAGGTTTAGGATCTCAGCTCTGATGTGAGTGTTTGTGGGGATGTATTACGTTGTACGGGAGTATAAAGGTCAAGTTGCATAATATAGGCTAAAGGATTAAAAGTTACAAAGCTTTGTTGTAAAACATTCACTGGTCTAGGGTTCAGTTCAAGTGAAAAAGATACAATATGCCTTTCAGCTGCATGCTAGAAAAGAGAATGGACTTGAGAAAAAAAACAATTTTCCAGCCCAAACTTGAGAAACAAGTTTGAGAAACATGATTTTCACCTGAGAGCTTGAAAAAAGGCAACTGAGCGTTGCCACATGATAGGGTGAGGTACAGTAGATTGTACAAAAATAGATACAGAGAAAAACCCAACAATCATATGACCCCCTATGAGCAAGCACTTTGGCGACAGTGGGAAGGAAAAACTCCCTTTTAACAGGAAGAAACTTCAGGCAGAACCAGGCTCAGGGAGGGGCAGCCATCTGCTGCGACTGGTTGGACTGGGGGAGGAAGACAGGATAAAAGACATGCTGTGGAAGAGAGACAGAGGTTACTAACAAGTATGATTCAGTGCAGAGAGGTGTATTGACACATAGTGAGTAAGAAAGGTGATTAAAGAAGAAATAATCAATGCATCATTGGAATCCCCAGCAGCCTGCACCTATTGTAGCATAACTAAGGGAGGATTCAGGGTCACCTGATCCAGCCCTAACTATATGCTTTAGCAAAGGTTTTAAGCCTAATCTTAAAAGTGAGATAGAGTCTGTCTCCCCAATCCAAGCTTGTTCCACAGAAGAGGAGGAACAACAACCTTTTGAATGTCTTAGTTCCAAAGGTGAACACTTGCATAAAAAATAAAATAAATTAAAATAAAATAAAATAATAAAAGAGACTGATATTATACTGACATGATGGAAAGAAGGAAGATATTTATTTTGTGGGAGGGTGACCAGGTAGAAGGAAGCATGACCAGGAGCATTGGCAGCAGATTCAAGTAGGTCTACCATGGTGGCGATAGGAAGAGAAATGGAGTAGGGGATATCTTGAAGGAATAATAAGTGAAGAGTGTTGTGAAGGTGAAAGGATTTGCAGTACAGACAGCACACCTACGCCTCAGGCCCTCCTTTGCTCCCATGTAAAATTTGTTAGGTCTGCCACTGGTATATCTGATAAATGTGTAATGATTGATTAAAGCACTGCAGCTTTAAGGAACCACAGACAGAATGCAATACCAGGCGTGTCCTTCCTGATATCTCTGACTCAGACTGAACATTCATGATAAAATCCCTAAAATCTCTGGCAGCAAAGTATCAAAGGTTAACTCTTTGCTATTGTGTCACTATCTGTGATACTCTTACCCTTTTAAAGTTCAACTTTATACAGAAAGGTAGATGAGTGTTTGTGACATATTTAACATGAGATGTCACAACTGACAAGGGCCATTACACACTCATACATTAGTCTGGCACTGACAAGGTAGCCAATTCAGAAAGCATTCCCTGTTTTATTGTGCTGGTAACTCTTAATAAGATCGTAATTTAGTGGAGAAACATTCTGTAGTTTTTTTCCATTCTTCTCAATAAAGCTCAGAGATGGAGCAGACCCAGTCTTCAGTCTGGGTCCGCTCCATCTGACTCCAAACATACTGTAGTGAAACCTATTCTTAAAAAGCAGACTATGGTCTCAACAGTTTTATCAAATTACAGACCAATTTTTTTATTTTTTATGAGAAGTGTGAGTGATTTAATGCTTGTGCTGGATGTTTTTGGGGGGCTATATGTAAAATCTCATTTAGGGCCACCAAAATCCTAGGTCCAGCCCTGTATTCACCACTGGCTTGGTCTGAGAATAATGGCCTGGTCACTTCAGCATTTGCAAATTCAGTTAATTTTTAGTTGGCTTGATTATGAAGGTTAAGTAATTTGTTGGACTGTTTCAGGCTTAAGTTGAAATGAAACTGCTTAGTTTGATTTCAGTTGACAGAGCTCTCGTGAGAATGAAGGAACATGTTTTAACGTAGTTGCTCTATTGCCCCAGTTACATTTCTTCCCTCTGTTAGAGTATACACTACTACTACAAAACACAATAGTTAATACAGTATCTCTTTAATTAATTTTCTTTCTCATTAACTTTTATATCCAGGAGAAAGTGTCCAGAGCTGTGAAGAGACAGGTCAGGAGCTATTTTTTACTTGCTGATAGGTTGTCTACCAAAGGGAATGTGGCTAGGTCGCAAGCTACTATTAATACATGCGTAAGATGAGACCAGGCTTTAGAGGTGCATACAGCAGTCACTTGTTTGTTTTTGTGAGCAGTGTTCAGCCCTGCAAACTTTGACTCAATAATTCCTGACTGTCCCCCAGGGCTAGGCCTCATGTGGGTACAGGACTAAGATGTGTTAAAATCTTCCAATTCTTTGATCTTTGGGCTGAAGGAAGAACAACACTCTGTGTATAAATGCTCAATCATCAATCCCTTTATTCCATACAATTCTCATTATTCCAAAAAACACTTTTGAGCATTAACCATCTGGATGGGAGATGTGGACAGGAGGGTGTCCGCCAAATCTCGAAGTGTCTGACCGTTTCTCACATTCTTATAGCTGTGGCCCCCCTTCCACAGTCACAAAACCTAAACATCCAGATTCTTTCTATCTCAGTGAGCCTAAGTTATGACCTTGGCTTCCTGTGCAGTATGTTCTGTTCCTTCCTAATCAGACAAACAAGGCCATGATTCTCTGAGAACAGTATTTCTTATGAATCAGCAGTATAATGCAATACAAATAAATGTAATAGTTATCACCTTCTTCTAAGTCAGGAGAATAATGCAAACTAAAACTACATAAAGATTTCACAATCTTTCATTAGAGGTATAATGTGGCATAAGATAATATAATAATCTCACAGATGTTTCAATATATTTCAGAGCCTGACTTTTTCTAGAGGAAAAATAGGTTTCTGAATTCCTTAAAAAATAATTTCCTGTGGATTTTGTTTGTTTATTTGTTTCTAGGATTGAGAAGAAGGCATTTTTGGGCATCTTTACAAACAAATGTTTCTGTAAGAACACTTTGAGTAACTGCAGATAGATAACTGCAAGTACTAAATGTACCAGCTCC